TAAAATTAAAAGCCCACATTAACGCTATTCGATCGGGATGTGATGCTTATCTCTCACGCTGTAAAAAATTCACCTGTTGTTTTTGATCTGACAAAGGCCATCTGTCGGGAACTCGACTACTGGCAACCATCGGTGGTGTAGCCACGGATTTGGAAAAAGGTGGGATTTCTGGGGCTCACCTTACCCATAGGGAAGGTTCAGGACGCCTGACAAGTTTTCAGAGTGCACCCAACTTGAGACGAAGCCGACTGAGGGCGAATTGGAACTGAAGGTAGAAACGGTGAAACGTTCAAGGTGTGATGGGGGAACGTGTGGAGTGCGATTCACGCGTCATTATAATGGAGGTCGTCTCGCGTGAAGGGCGGGCCTCCGGAGGCGCGGTGCCGTAGACGAGACGCGCTATAACATCATGCCTTCCATCATTGTGGGAGAAATGGAAACTTGTAAAGGACAGGTAAAGAACAATCAACTATGCACGTTTATAGAAGGATGACGTTTATGAGGGTCGGGACGTTCTGACGTTATTCCTATTTTGAACGTTTGAGAAAAGTAAACTGTGGACTTAAGGAGCAAATCCTCAATCTCGAAGGGACGTCATTGCAATAGTAAAGAGATTTGCACTACTTCATGGTGAAGTCATGGCCTAGTGCAAATCTTGTTCGGTTCATCTCATCTGAGGGGTACTCTAGCAATCGCATCAAATCCGTACATAATATGCCGCGTGGTGCGTCACGTGCTGTGAGCGCGAAGCTCTGAAGGTTCCTCGGGAACGTGCGATTCACGCGGGACCACACCGATTTCTTCGCGCACGCCGCACGCGCCGCACTGCTTAGCAGATTCCGGAGAACCGAAATTTGTCCAGGCCATCAAGGTAAAATATTTATCATTAGCGTGTATGACCTAAATAAAACGTATAAGTTAGCACCTGCATATTATTCAGCCATTTGCCAAACAAATGAACCCTACCCACTCATGTTGTAGCCATGTTTTCACTGACGAATTATTTCATTGAAAGTCTGTGCTGAGTGGTTGGGATAGGAGCTTTTTATCGAGGATCTTTTGTGTTATAAGCTCATTTGATTGGATGAAAAGTCAAATGGCCATTATTTGAAAACGGTGGATCCATTCAACATTAATTTGAATTACAGATGATTCGGCGACTGAAAAAGTTTCCATTACAAAATTTTTTTCTGATTAAGCCTAATCACACATCCAACGCAGAACCATCACTAGCTATCCAGGAAGCTGCCACAGCAAGACAGTTTTAAAACGGCTTTAGAGATTGATTTCGAGCTGTTCACATACTTTTGATGCGTATTTTATATACGCACAAACACGCTCACACACCCTCACACGCAAACACGGGTGTGCTTCGTTTCGCGTTGGTCTAACAAACTTTATTTACAAAAAAGATAAAAATATTGAGCGAAAACATGTTCAAGTAATTACTATTAATTACATCGGCCATTTAGTCTTACATTTCGTCGTAGATTCTGTTCGCCAGCCGATTTTTTAACGAACGGTTGACGTGATAGTTCATGGGTTCATGTTTGTTAATATGACGAATTTAGAAACAGATTACATTTCTTACTTGGGTTTGGCTAACTGTCCCATCGCCAAAAGTTCGTTGAGATCGCAAAATGTCCCCGTCACCTTCCAACCTTTCTCAGAGTAGTAGAGCAAATGTGGCGAATGTGAAGATGACTTTCTAGACACATTTCTGCTAAGGGAACCGAGAAGGTTGTTCCAATGAAAGTCCCGCATCCAGTATTCAAATTGTATCGAGAGAAAAGAAGCCGCGGAAAAATCCCCAATAACTATGCATCAAGCCATTATAATTCGCATATAGACGTGTTTATTTGTGTATTTTATATGAGGACTTAATTCATTGCGGAGTCCTTGATTGCTCTTAAGATGTCAAGAACACTTTCTAAACCTGCTATTAGGTTTAAATATTTTTTGGAAGTAAGTTTTCAAATAATTTTCATTCCCTTCACCTAGATTAACCATTAGTTAAGCTATGTGCTGAAATTTTCAAATTTCTCCGTATGTACAATAAATAGCATGCTCTTTATATGGGGGCATTGATGTCTTCATGTACAATATCGAGAACTCTCTGACTTCTTTATAGATTATGTTCAATGGGAACACTCTATTAGCATGCCACATGCCACTGTTAGTGCTGCTGTCGTAAGCATGCAGCGTCGCAACACTCGTGTGTTCCAACACAGAGATCGGATCCTCATTCTTTCGGGACTTTGAATTTCATTCCTATTCCTTTGTTAAAACTAATGCACAGACATGTTCTCTGTGTTTATACTTCGTAGTTTTTTTTCATTTCTCTAGGCAATGAAGTTAGCATAATGAGATCACTGAGAAGCGACTTTTAAAGCTCTTGTTTTGAGGAAGGATAACGTAACAAACTTATAAATTCAAAGCTCGCAGTGCATTTTCTTCGGAAAAGGTCGTTGGTTACAAGTGCTACGCTATCAATTAGTTAGAGTTCTGAAAGAGGTGCTGATAAAAGCTTTTATTGAAATTGCAGTGCTGAAGTACTAACCATTCGCGTGTGTAGCCTATCATTTTGGTCTCCCTCTTTAAACCACACCAGGATCATGGCGCTATATGCTCATGACAACAGATGTAAAGCTTCAGGGAACTGGTGAAGATGCAGTTGGGATGGGGGGGGGGTAGCGCAATTTCGAATAACGTAGGAATAGAGCACAGAAGAGGGCAGCCAACTTTACTTGTGTTCAGAGAGGGCTTTCGGCTAAAGTTGCATTGTTTTACCT